TGGAAAGATCAAGATCTTCGTTAAATGTATGCCACAGTGCAAAAGAACTCTTTATCCTACATGCGATCACTTTACACTTGTTTTGCTCGGATCAATCGACCCTGCAACTGATTCGACTGTTCAACATCACGCGACATAACGTTATATTGAGAAGTATGTATTTGTTATGCTTTCCATTTACTATAGTTACTCGAGTTATTTTCATCGAGTTTTTTATTCATTACATGACAAACAGGTATATCGAAATTTTATTAAAATACGCGGTTTAATCTGCCAAAATAAAATTTAATAACTCTTTCGAATTATGTACTGATATGTTTGTTAATATCTCTTCGTTCCATTTATCCAAGAAATAAAGAATTTAAAGCAATTATATATTATATATATATATATATATAAACATTTATAATATTACTAATGTTACAATTTATAACATTACAAATGTTTATAATATATAAACGTTTTGTAATATTATAATTGAATTATAAACAACTGAAATTATATATATATATATATCATATTTATAATATATATTCATTATGGAAATTATGGTAATATTTATGATTAATCCCGCCGTATCGTTCGTAAACATAATTTTATATTTTATCTTATTTTATATAAAATTTACGGAATTATTTAATACGGAATTAAATATGGATTATACGGAATTATTTAATATTCAATTAGAAAGCCAACATATATGAAAGATATAAGTTTAAATCACTGTAAAATATCCGGCCATTAATAGAAATTTTTTTACAAACAGAGACTTACATTTCTCTGTACATGTGCGGACATGAAAACGCTCTTCACTTCGTACACTTCACGCGAAATTATAAATTTACAAATGAAATCGAACGCGAGCTATGCTTCGGTGTGTTACAAGAAAAACGAGAAGAGAGAATAACCGATACTTGCTTTAATAACATTCGAATCGATTATCAATTACGTTCACTGGACGTCGATCACCGGCCTCGTCCTGCGTACGCTTTGCGAAGTTCAATTAACTTTGCAAATGTTCAGAACTTAATGACAGTTTTCGATCGGTAACAAGGGAAACGCGAGTCCCTGATTGTCGTACGCTACGACGTTTATCAATATCAACACATTTTCAGTGATGATTGCCATAGTTAAGCAGCAACTGTGCGCCGAGACTTACCCCGGAAGTCAACCTTCACAACCTTGTCCCCTTTAAACTTCAATCCTTGAAAGTTCTTCACGATAACGACGAGCGCCATCCTGCGTCTCGATTGTCTCTTAAATTCGACTCCCGGTGTGAATGTACCGTTCGTTAAGCTCGCGTCCGTAAGCTGCAGGTGAGCCGTGTGAACGTGCTACACCGCATGTTCCGTTCCTCCTCCGTTACGTTCTTCGATCATCCTCCAGTTACGCGAGGGCAAAGCGACGAGTGAGGCTCGAGGGGAAAAACGGGCTCGAATCGAAGCCGCGTTCCAGTCTTCTTCCGCGTGAATTCGATTCGCGAAAGCGACAGACAAGCTCGCGTTCAATTAGCTGCGAGTCGCATTGGAAAACGCGCCCGGCCGACGCAATATATCTCGAGGCCGGTATGATGTCGCGATTAACGAGCCTAACGAGAGCGAGCCACGTAGCCGGATCGAGCGGCTGGCGAATTCGGACTAGCTGGTGTTCGCGCCCCGAGTCCTGTCCGTCCTACAATCCCTCCTGGACCTACCCGTTCTGCCATCCTGGAGAACCAGCGCACGCGCCGCTCTCCCTACTGCTATGCCTGCGCGCGTACACACACACACACACACACACACACACACACACACACA